TCGTCACAAGCTTCTCTATTGATTTACTTTCCACTTGGCCCATTATATTATATTTTAGTTATTTATATAGCACTTTTAAGCAAAGTACTGGGAAAGGATAACAGAAGGACACAGCAATAAAACAAAGTATAACAATTAGCAGTGACAAAGCCATGAGCCAACAACTGGTGGCCTCAAGTGAGTACAAAATATTAGGCTGACATGAAAAGGCATCAAATCTATGGACAAAATGCTTTTAAGAAGTCAGGATAAAAGAGGCACTATAACAAGACATTAAAGGCGCAAAGAGCAACAGATTAACAAAAAAGGAAAATCCAAAATACTGTGTCCAAAAGAAAAAGCACAGTATCCAATTTATATGTGGTATTTAAAAGGATTAAAAAAAATAAAAATGATCACATGGGAAAACTAAGGAAGAGTCAGTTTCAGTCTGGGTAAATGATTAGGCAAAGGAGTCAGAATTTATCACTAAAATACAAAGATTAAAGTGAAAAGATGCCTCCGACCTAACACGACATACTGGGACTTGAACGTTCAGTTTCTAGATCTGCCACAGACACGCACGACCTTGGTCAAATCCCAGTAAAACTCAACTCTCATCTTGCAGAATGGAGGTGCTAGTGCTTCCTTTCTAATTTACATTTAAATCATGAGAAAGACAGCTGCTTATGTACATCTACATATCAGCACCAGCTGCTGCACAGGCCTCATTTTAGGTGAAGCATTTGTGGATCAAACACGAAGTGACTAGCTAGGACAGTGAGAAGAGAGTTGAAACATGGCTGGGGAAAGAGAACACTAGGTATACATCCTGCTTTAAATCTGGCTGAACAAAATAATTTAAAAAATAGGATGCTTTAAGAGAATGACACAATGAAAGTAATGGTAATTAAATAAAAACAAAGCACAGACCTCCCAAAAGCAGGCAGCAGACCCAGGTACCAACTGGTAAAGAGAGAACTTATAGGATGTTCCCTCCAAGTGAACTTCTACCAGACTTTTGTTTCCTTGGAAGCTCCTTTCAGGTGAAGCTAGAGATGATGCTTGACTGCGGTGTTTTATTTATACTGAGCTGTAACCCTGACGTGAACTGACAGGTAACGGAGATGCACATCTTCATCCCTCTACTCGTATCTGAGCACCAGCTCCACTAGCTTCCAGAGCTTAAGGACCCTCCTTCCCCTCTCACAGGTATATCCCTCAATTCAGCAGCAAGCAGCTTCTCTATTTTAATACATTTTATGAACTTGCTAAAGTACATTCTTTAAATCTGCACAAATCCACCTCCACTCAGCACACCATTAACGTAGCCCTGCTTACTGTAAAGCCTTGCTAGCTATTAAGGAAGATACATTAAAAAAAAAAAAATCACTAAGGTGGCTCAGGCAGAACAGGTATCAAGCTGCCTGTATTACTTCCAAACTGGCTGACAGTGTTATATGCCAGCACAAATTATCTCTGAGTAGTTCTGCACATCTGCAATTTTTAGTACCCACTTTCCACACACACCCCCTTCATCCTTATTCCCATTAGGAATAGCCCAGATTCTTTAATTGACAAGAGACTGCCCACAGTTTGACATTTTTATGTTAAACTAACAGTCACATTACTTTTTCATTTTTAAAAGGTACTATTCTTGATCAGCGCCAACACACATATTATTGAGTGCCTTTCAAAGATGGCATTTAAATATTGCTAATGGAATTTCTTTGTAATCAGTCCCAGAGAGTTTAGCTCTACCACACAGCAAAGCCTTCCTAGCATCTGCCATCGACTCAAATAACAGAAGATTCATAACTAACTCTCACTTCAGTTTTTGTAAACATGATAAAACAAGAAAGTGACTTTTCAAAAGAAAGCTTGTGAGTGGTGCACTGGTAAATCTCATCTGGAGATGAGCAGTGTTTGGTGAACCTCTGAAGACTTTTCTGAACATGGCAATTAAAATAACAATTATGCAAGGAACTCAAACCCATTTGGATTTCTTCTCCATTGTCAGGCTCCTTCCTTTGTCGACAGAGATAACTCTATTATTAACCTTACCACAGATGCATATTGCAGCACTAACAAAAGTGGTTTTCAGGCTTAGATTCTTTTCCTCTTACTTTTCAAAAATAATCTTATTACCCACTCTTGAAGTTAATATGTTATTGAAATAAATTCTAGACAAGGACAGGTTGGTGGGTTTTATTGTAGAAAACAGCCAACCAGCTTCCTTTAATCTGCTTTTACTGAGAAAGCAATGAAATATTTTTAACACTTCAAAAATCTGTCAGCCTAGTTTGGATTTAAAAAAAAAAAAAGAAAAAAAAAAAAGGAAGGAAGCTGTTGGCTTTATTTGGGGTAACATTACCCTAGGGATCACAGACCAACGTAACAGGGTTGGCTATACCCTCTGCAAACCAGGGACTTCTACTTTTCCCTAGTTAATACTACCCTAGCACAGCTACCTTGACAAATACTAATGAATCAGACCCTCTTTCTATCTGTGCAATGGAATGTAAATTTGGCATCTGTGCAAAACACAAATTTTAAATGCAGGGGCAATTTAACTCAAACACTGTCTTATGAAGAAGTTTCTTATGGCACAGTTACTAGAACTATTGTAATTGAGACCTGAACCTCACCCTGCATACAGCATGTTTTAACAAAAGGGATGAGCTGGCTCTGTCCACAGCCCACACCAGCTCCTTCAAGGAAAGGAAAGGAAACTCCTCTTTTTGTATTAGAGAAACTTTCTGACAATGCTTTGCAAGCTGTGCTGGCCTCACAATATGCAGCCCTTGAGAAAAGGTAACCCATCCAACCCAACCGTGGATTTTTATTTAATCTACACTGATGCCTCATCTACTTATTTAATATAATGGACTCAGCAGTATGCTATGCCAATGGATTCCACAGGCCAAAATATCCTTTAAAAGTTTATTGCCTCTTGGTTTCATCAAAACTGAGAATCAATCAATGATTTAGGTTGGAAAGGACCTTAGAAAATCATCTGGTCCAAATTTCCCATTTTCCAGAACAAGTTAAAAAATTCAAAGATCACTTATGATAAATAAGAGTCCCTAATTTTATACACTTCTCTAATGACCCCGTAAGGTAATTAGAGGGGGAAAAGGATTTTTGCTCAGGAGTTGGTGGGGCTGATAGATAGGGCTTTAAACTAGAGTCAAAGGGGGAAAGGGATAAAAGCAGGCATGCCGGTGATGAGCTAAGGGATGGTGTGCTAGTGAGGTCCTTTGGTCTCCTCCACAAAGTGCTGCGTGCAGAGAGCTGCGTTTGAAGTGCTTCTACACAAACACACACAGTATGAGGAATAAAATGGATGGGCTAGAAGTCTCGGCCCAGTCCCACAGCTACGACATCACTGGCATAAGCGAAACGTGGTGGGATGAGTCCTGTGGCTGGTGTGCTGCAATAGATGGTTACAGGCTCTTCAGGAGGGACAGGCAGGGTAGGCGAGGTGGCGATGTATGGGAAGCATGGGCTGGACTGTGTGGAACTTCTAGTAGGCGATGGCAAAGTTGAGAGCCTCTGGGTAAGGATTAATGGACAAGCAAAGGCGATGTCAACTCCCCTTGTCCTTACGGGGGATTTCAACTTGCCAGACGTCAACTGGGATCACCACAAGGCCGACACGAGCAAGTCCAGGAGGTTCCTAAAGCACCTAGATGATAACTTCTTGGTGCAGGTGCTAAGGGAGACAACTAGGAAAGGTGCCCTCCTTGATCTGATGCTGGAGAACAGGGAGGATTTGGGGGGGACCTGGCAATTATAAAGACTGACCACTGTTGGTCAGTCTTTAAGCACTGCCTTCTAAAAGCACATCCTGACCCTGGATCTTGTACTGGAACTTAGGTGAAAAATGAAAACAGCTACAGCTGCTGGAAGGAGGGTCAGGTTACATGGAAGGAATACAGGGACACTGTTCGCATTTGTAGGGAGAAAATTTGTGTGACTAAAGCCAAATTAGAGTTGAAGCTGGTCAAGTCTGTCGGAGACAATAAAAAGTATTTTTTTAGATCTGTGAACAGAAAAAGGAGGACCAAAGAAAACATAGGTCCACTACTTGATGGGGAACGTCACCTCATGGACAAGGACATAGGAAAAGCAGAGATGTTTAATACCTTCTTTGTCTCCGTCTTCAATGCTGATTATGGGCTTCGGAACCCATGGTGCCCTGAGCTGGAGGACCATGACAGTGGGAGTGATAAACTCCCAGCCAACCCTGAACGTGTGCAGGATTTGCTGCTCCACCTGGATCCATACAAGTCCATGGGTCCGGATGGGATCCATCCCAGGGTGCTTAAAGAGCTGACTGATGTCATCGCGGGACCTCTCTCAATTATTTTTCAGTGGTGTTGGGAATCTGGAGAGGTCCCAGTAGACTGGAAGCTGGCAAATGTTGTGCCAAGTTTCAAGAAGGGCAAGAAAAGACCCTAGCAATTACAGGCCTGTCAGTCTCATGTCATTTATACCATACACCTTTTATAACATACACATACCAGGTTCAGTGCAAAATCACTTGCAGGTCTCCAGTTGGGAGTTTTACTACAAGACCCTTTGCTTCTAGCTTTTTAATCCAAGATTCTCCATGTAATACAAGTAAAGAAACTTGCTTCCTGGAAATTGGTGTAGTATGTATGGGAAGTGTGATATGCTGCTTTATGACAAATTGAACGTTTCTGCTCTGGAATGTTGTATGCATTTGTTGTTGTTGTTTTGTTAAATAAAAAAGCACACATCCTTATCTTTGCAAACTAGGGAGATTGGAGTTCATTTTTTTGAAGACCTTTCTGCTTCCTCTCCCTTCTTCTCTTACCACATGTGCCCCGTTTTCCCCCCATCTGCCTTTTGGGGGAGGAAGTCGATTTGGGGGCTGGGTGGGTGTTCCCTCAGCCACCTGAGGGGAGCTCGTCCTGCCCCAGCTACTTAGCACCTGTGACTGAGGCTGCTTCTGGGGCTCTCAAATAAAAAAGAGGGGGGGGGGGGGGGGAAGTATGCTCTCTGCTTTGGTGAGGTTCAGTCGCAAGGTTTACCCCTGGTGCTGTGAGAAGGGCAATTTCCTGCTGTGGGCTGGAGGAGCAGTGGCTGCTTGCTAATGACATGGTGGAAATGGGGGGAGGCAATGGCCAGGGCAGTGAGCAGCACCTGGTGAGCAGTCCTTTTGGTTCCTTAGTGGGAACCAAAAGGACTGCTCCTTGGCCATGGGATGGCAGAGGTTGAAATGCTGTGGGGTGCTTCTTGTCCTAGGACTGGCAGGGTTGCTGAGGGCCAGAAAGTGGGGAAACATCCTGAGGGCAGTCCCACAGCGATGCTGAAAGTATGGCAGGGTGAAAACATATGCCAGTTCACTGAACCGAGCTAATACCACATCACTTGCTAGCCTATCCTTACTGATTCTTAAATTAAGTTTTCTTTTATGGATTTGTTTTGTTTTGAGGATTTAAAGATTCTTGTCCCTTTCTTTTTGTAATTATCTTTTTGAACTGCAGCTGTGGAGCCGTGCATCTCTCCCCCGGGCTGTGGGGCTCAGGTAATGGCAACAAGCGCCTCACCGTGGGTCAAGGAGCAGGCACAAGAAAGGCTTCCACCTGGCAGAATCATATTTTATTCCGTGGGGAGACAACATTTCTTTGCAAAACCCTCCTCTGGCTTTAAAATAATACATAATAACTATAGAATTACCAAATGTCAGGTAAACAAAAAGTTATTAAGGATGACCTTATTAGTTCTATCTGCAATTCGCAGAGCGAGGTAATTGTCAAGTCTCACTGTTATTAGGTTGAAATAATAGTTTTGGGACCATCAACATTAAAATTTCATTATGATGGGACAAAAAGGCTCATGTATAATCAATAGTAAGAATCCATTATTATTGACTTGAAATGAATGAAGCATGAACACATTTGTGCAGATACGAACAGTTAGCAATCTTTTGAATAATAAAGAATTAACACTACACAGATAATGTCATTCTGGGAATTGGACTCGAACTTAAATTGGTACATGTCTCTTTGTTATGAAGTCTGATTCACATCCCTTGGTAACTCCCATTAAGCTGTTTCTCAAAATAATGTGTCTACAATTTTGTATTCTCAGATCTGTTTTGTGAGGGAGGTGGCTGAGCAGCTCGGGGTTGTGGTGGAGTGTGCTTGGTCAGTCTCTGGATTTGGTGGTGCCACTGAGAGCATGACTGCACAGGGATGCTGTTGATGCAGTGGCCATGACTGCATGGGAGCAGGCTGGGAGTGTGCTATGGTTTTCTCCTGTCCTGCCTTGGGGCAGTGCTTTAGCACAGTGGTGTGTTGCTGCTTGCATTGCAGCTGCCAGGTTGCAAGAGGTAAGGGAGGTTGAATGCCAAATGGAGAAAAGTACAGATCCTCTGGAGTGTGCTGGCTCCTGGAGATGTGGCCAAAGCCACGGACATGGTGTGCAGTGTTACCTTGTCTACTGTACGTGACGTGCTGAGACAAGCTGTTCCCAGCGTGTTCTTTTCTGTCACTGTGGGATATGTCACGTTGGTGTTATCATTAGTCTCTTGTTTTCCATTGAGGAGGTGGACCCAAAGTGCACTTAGTGACTTGCCCTTTTTTTTTATGTGCTAAGTCTGATGCATTTTTTTTTTTTTAAATGTACTTTGAGTTTCTATAAACTAAGTGCCTTTGAAAGGTGTTATTTTAAGGGTATTTCCACCTTGCCTACAGACTAACAACTGCTTCTTAGCATTATCTTCTGGCTCCAGCTCTCTTGTGCTAGTTTGCAGCTGCTAAGATACCCAGAATCATTGGAATTAGCGGTTGAATTTAGACTGGTGTTTTATAGGGAAGAAAGTCTGGGTTGCTCCGTGCCTGTCTCTACTACTATAATGAAGAACCTTAGACATGTAGCATTACTTTGTGTTATGGAACGTCCCTCAATGCTCCTACTCTCATGCCTTTTAGATTTCCTGGCATGGAGTACTATGGTAGAGTTTTCTATCCTGTTATGAAGTATCCCCACTCTGCTCCAGGTATTGGTTGTGCAAACTTACAAAAGCCCTCCATATGCATGCTAACCCAGCCAGAGAGCACCTAGGAACAGTCTCTTCCAGAAAATCTTCCCGTTTTCTCTAGTGCTGACTGTCTTCCCTTCTCTGGCATGCCCAGTTACTGAAGGAAATAGGAGAGTCAACCAATACCTTAAAAAGAAGAGATTTTGTGGCTTTGGCACTTGACAGGCTTGAGGAGACTTTCTCAGAAATCTGGAAAGTCACTTTTTTTTTTTTTTAATGTGAAATGGGAGTAATCATTTTCTTAGTCAGTGGAGAGGGAAGATAATTATTTATTACTTGCATTACAATAGCAGTGAGGACTCATTGGGCTAAATGCCCAGAAATTGAAAAGTTATTTAAGGAATTAAAAGTGTGTATTTTTTTTTTTTTTTTTTTTGAAAGGCACCAATAATAATACTTTAGATGGGAGCCCTGAGAGGCAAATAAGTGGTATATTGCAATAGCACCTGCTTTAATCCATTAGAATGGGTATAATTATGAAAGAAAGAAAGAGAGTGTCATTCCTTTCAACTTTTACCAACAGTGCATTTCCTCTTCCCTATATTTAACTTTCAGCTGCTTTTCAGAGGTAAGAGAGGAGAATAATTGAGACACAAAGGACAGTAATCCAGCTGAGCAGCCCATCTGTTCCTGGGAGGAGCACAGAAAGGAAGGAAGGTACCACCAGTAGGGCCTTTAGATTCTGTTCTCTTTGCCTTGCAGTTGGGGAATATAAAAATCGGACCCTGTCCTTGGAGACAGGGAAGTTTATACTGGTTTATTTCCAATACAGCCTTCTTCGAGAAGGGGGCTAGAAGAGGGAAGCCCTTACCATTTACAGAAACGAACAGACAGAGATCAAATGGTCTTAGAGCATGTAAACATATTGTTAATTGGCCTTAGTACTCAAAGCCTGTTTGACAAAGTGATGTACATGCATCCTTTTTCAGCATTTGTCCTTGGGAGAGCAGATACAGTGGATGGTGGGATGCGCTCAGTGAGAGAGACTGAGGGGAAATTATGAAAAATTATGAGAGGTTACAGAAAATTTTTGGCCTGTTAAAGGAGTGAGTCACTTTCTCACTTTTTATTTTATTTTATTTTTTTTTTGACCCATGATGTAAGACATTGGTATTTCATTTACCTGTCTGAGGTGAGACATAAGGAACATACAAGTGTTTTAAACTTAAAAAAATATGAAAATAGAGGCAATTCTTATTACTTATTTAGGGCTGTACCTCATTTTTGAAGCTGTTCTTAAACTTTTTCTTTTAAAAGCAAGAGATATATGCAGGGCACATGAAAACATTTAAAAGGTTCTAAAGAGCACAAGCCACAAATCAATGAGTAAGTTGTTCAGAACAGCACTAACAATGAATATAACTGAGGATATATAAATCTAGGGAGAAGGAAACCTTTTTTTTTTTTTTTCTCATCTTGTCAAACCTCCTGCTGATTTATAAAATGGACAAGTTGCCAGAAAAATCATCAAAGTATGCCCACGAATTATACTGTAGTTTAAAAATGCAATACTATTGTATTCACAACACAGAGTATTCATCACAGATACAGCTCCATAATTATAATTATTAAACATAAATCCTCCAAACCAAATTTGCTACTTCATTAGATAAAATGATCACTGCAGAGTTTGTCTACCTAGAAGAATCCTATTTTTCTCCCACTGAGTTGTCTTAACCTGCTTTTCATTTTAGTGCTAAAACTAATTTCACATAATCCATTTCAAAGCTGATTTTTCTAGCATAAAAAAGTTTTCAGTTAAGTTGTAATTTTAAACCCAAAGTCTTTAGTTTTCATATTTAAAAGTAGGAAACAGTCTTATCTCTTGTGCTTTCTCTGAGTGTCTACTTCCCTGCTATGCTGTTTGATCCCTGTTGACTTCTCTGTGTGTTTGCATTTGTATGCAAAAGTTCTTCTTGTACCATTATCAAGAACAGGTAATATATGGGAAGAGTCTTACTTGAATTCTTTTCATGGGCAAAATATTTCAGTTCTGTCTTTCTTGTAATCTATTTCAGAAACTTTGAGGCATTCAGATGATAAAGATATAGTGTCTTCCATAAAAAGTAACACTTCAAGTAAAAGCATTTACTTATAGGTTGTAATTGTTTTTTAAGTCATATTTATAGGGGGTAAATGCAATGCAATTTACGATAGTTTAAACCAACCATGAGAATACTTCATGCTCGTAAACTGAGTTTCACTTCTAAACTGTTATGAATACCCAAGAGACAATGAATTTGCACACATACATTTTAAAACCTGGGTTTTCTCACCCCCCCCCCCCCCCCCCCCCTTTTTTTTTTTGTATATATGGAAACTACTGCTTTGCTGAATTGCTGCCTCATGTGTCTGGCCTTGTTTTATCCCTGTAGCATACCTGTGCCCAAATAATTGCAAGTGTAGGGACGGTCTAATTTTATTTTTTCTTTCTTATGAGCTGGAGAGCACATAATAATGCTGAAGAGATGCAAAGAGCCATTTTGATTATATTAAGGTAAGAGAATGTGTGAACTCAACAGAAACCCTTCTTGTATGACCCCTCCACTAAATGCAGCGCTTCGAATTAGAGAGAAGGATTTATTTATTTATTTATTTATTTTTAATAAGCAGTAATCTACTTACAGAACTGTTGGTACTGTTATTTCTTATTCTGTATAGAAGCCAGTATAGTAACAGAAACTGTAAACTGCTACTTCTTGGTGGTTTATTTTTATCAGATGAGGGGAAAAAAGTCTACCGGTTCTGCATGTTTTAGCATCCTTCTTATTTAAAACAAACAATGACCTTCCTTACCTTCCCTCCAACCAATGAGTCCAAGTTCAGACAAAAACGAGTTTGTCTAGCTGACTCGTGGAATACAATTTACAAAATTGATCATTTTTATTAAAATGAGATGAGGCAATTGTATCAATTCAGACCGAATCTGTGAAAACAGTTCTAAAAATTTTGTAGTCACACAGATCAAATTGGCAAGAGCTGCCATGTTCAATGTTCTTCAAAACAAGAGGTGTGAGCCATTGAGAAATGGAAGTCCAGTCTTCAAAAATAAATCTGTTTGATTCTTTGAGTGCAAAAAGCATCTTAAAAATTTAACTTCTGTTTCTATGTCACTTTTTGACTCAAAAAGTGTTTTTGAACTTCAGAAAGACTGTGAAGTTTACCGAATTTTGAGTGGTAGTAGGAAGATTCTGATGAGAAATGTGTTCTGCTTACATCAGCTTCCAAAAGCTTCAGTCCTTGTTTAAACTTGTTCTGGTCTTTGATCTGGCAGATGGACTGGAAGTTTTTTTGTCATATGATAATTTATTATTATTATTTTTTAATTTCTGCCACTGCGAAGATTTTGTGAGAAAATTCCCTCTAACCTGGCTCCTTTCCTATCTGTTCTCAGAGAAGGCAGGTGAACAAGAGACCTTGACTTCAGTGGGACCTAGATCTGGCCTTCAAAAACGTGGGATGGAGGGAGGGGAGGAAGTTCCAACACTGAGTTCTACAGAACATTTTGATCACAGAGAGTCTTGTTAGCCAAGCCACAGTTTTGTTTTGTTTTGTTTTGTTTTTTACTATTACAGGCTTGTCTTACCTAAAACTGTGTAGAGAATGCTGTACGAACTTAGAAGAGGTGGTTTCTCAAATACTGTAGTTGTTTAGATCCCCTTGTTACAATAAACTAAAAAATGATTGTGCTTGCTGTTGGTAGCTATTTTCCCTGTGATGTTTGAACTTCCATTATGGCATTTGTTGTATCATGTAATATAAAGAGTTCTTTGTAATCACATTTTGACAGACAGCTTTAGCTTCTGCCTTGATTTTATTTCATGATGCACTATGTGATTTTACTGTTCTTGAGCAGCCCTCTTTTTAGGGAATGTGCAAATGCCACATGTAAAAATGAATTCAAATTTGTACCTATGTGTTTTCATATTTGTCATACTCACATATCAGAGGTATAATTGCACATGTACTTGACTGAAAGCCTGTCTAAATATCTTAACAGCTGCACTGTCTCAAGTTGGTTTAACAAAGTCTTTGGTTCTTTAATTCCCACTTTAATGTTAACAGAACTGAAAACTTTTAGAATGGGATTCGTCTCACTTATTATACAGATCAAGAATCTAAGTGCCTAGACTAAGCTAGTTTCCTGGCTCTCATCATGGGTATGCAAAAATACCGCTAGATTTGTCCCACTTATCTCAACCTTGACCTACTGACTCCTCTCCAGTGCTTGTTGGGAGGGAATGATGACCCTTGCGTTAAACACCTCAATGTTAAATTTAAACATAAACATCTAGCTTCTGTTCTTTCACCTCACCAGTTAAAATAACATTTTCTGAAGATGTAGACTTCTTCATATTCAAATTTCACTATTTATTTATTTATTTATTTATTTTCAGAGATGGTAACAAAAACAAATACTGTTTTCTACTGTAGATCAGAGAACTGTTGAGGGCAGGAAATATACTGGCAATGAGAATTTCAGATCTCTCCATAAGCACTGCATGAATATCATGCAGAGAAATACCATAGAAATCAAAGTTTCAGACTCTGTCAATGACTTTCATGGAGCAGCCAGGTAAGGATTGCACCCTTGACTGGAACTTGAGCAGCCTTTATGAACGGGTACAAAATCTTGTATGGAGAACTACTAGATAAAGTCACCATGACATACATAGGTGCAGTATTCCAAAAAATCCACTATGCTTGTGTTTCCCTTTGAAAAAAAGGGATTTATGTGAAAATGAGGAAGCTCATTAAAGAGAAACTAAAACAGGGACAGCCAAGAGAATTAAATCCTTGCATGCAGCCTAGATGCCACTCAATAACAGTGTATTGGAAGCACAAGGACAATACATAATGACTGAGTGTAAAGGTTTGAGAAAGGATGGAAAGTGTTTAGGGTAACTACACATTAGGGCAATGAAAGGTTGCTAGAAGCAAAAAAAAAAAAAAAAAAAAAAAAGTGAAAATGTGTTGTCCTTTAAAAATCAAGTCCAAATTGAGAAAATAGAAAACAAATTTCTTGTGAATTTTGAAATAGGATGTCACGGACTAAAAAGAGTTAAGGCTAATGTGTCCTCCAAACATTAGGAAGTGGTCTGCTGAGGCTGTTCAGAGTGGTATGGACAGGAGGTGACTAAAAGGAATTGCAGTTACACCCTGTGCTGAGTGTCTGGGCATTGCAGTATAACATAACATGCAGTAGATGAGGAACATGGCAAATAATCCATTTCACATTTAAAATGGGAGGCTCTGAGGTGATTTTCTTGACTCAGGAGAAGAATTGGCTTGCCCTGGAGCTTGTGTATTGTGGAGAGATCACCATGTTCTGGTGGTCACTGAAGTCATTTCTAGCATGACTGAGCACTCAGGGTGGGGTGGCTTTGTTGTTCTTTGTTTTGGTTTGGTTTTCTAGTGAAAGGAAAAAGAATACTGGTTTTGAGAACCTCTTGTTGGATTTTTGTTTGTGTGTTTTATCTATTCAATTCCCCAGGAAATTGACTCCTCTGATTATAAATTCTACTTGAGCAAGCGAGTGTGAGTGGTTTGTTTTCCAGGCAAGGAAGATTCCCATTGACCAAAATTAGTGCCATTTGGAGTTAGCTGATGTTTATCTGTGTATGGCCATCTCTAGAGACTGCTGCACAGAAAAGGGTGTATTTTGTATTTTAATCCTTAAAGGATTAAGGAGTTAACTCCTCCACTGAGCACAAGCATATGTAAAACATTCTATCAGTAGAGGTATCCTTTAAATCCTGAAGTTCTCCAAGTTGCCTCTAGTATTCAGGCTTGGTTCATAGTACTTTTTGCTCATCCAGATCTATTGGACTGGGTTCACGTTATGCTTTTTCCCCATTTGCAGGAAAACATTCATATGTTTTTTCCACTTGTCACTTTGCTTTTGCTGATTGCCCTCTGCTCTTCAAATCATTCGTGAGTGAGGCCTGATGGGGCTTTTAGGACTGATACCTCTGTGCTGACAATGAGCGAGCAGTTCTTGTATTCAATAACATGTGTTTGGTTTTGCAATCTGTCTTTGTTCCCACAGAACCAACTGTTTAGTCAGCTCTGTCCATTAATGGCAGACCACCTTGTATCATATTTATTTTAAAAACCATGGGAATATTGTTAACCAAAATAGCAAAATTGGAATACATTCAATCCAAAGAGATTTTTCTCCTCTGCATTCAAGGCATCAAAATTATTCTTCCATCAAAACATAACAATTGTTATGAATGATATCATAATACTGTGAACTGCTTAAGAGCTTCCACTTTAAAACTGTAATGGGCCATGCAGACAGAAGGGGAAAAAAAGGCTAAAAGCATAAATTGAAGATAATCAATGTGAATAGACCTTACCCATTGTGCAGTTTGAATAGGATAAGCACACATTATCTGGCATAATTGGTTCATGTGATTTTCTAATTGAAGAGAAGAAGTAATTAGAGCCTAATTGAACCAAAGTAACACAATGTCTGTCAGCATTTCTCCTTCTACCACACATTATATTATTACCTGTCATCTTTTGCTTTAGTGGGACTAAAAAAAAGAGGGGAAAAAAAAACAGTATAAAACGTTTTGGAGTTTTCCTCGCCAAAGCAAAGGTACAGAAAAAAGACACTAAATAAAAACAAGTAAGACCGTGAGTAACTATGTACATCCATGTGCTTCTAAACTAGGAGTGTTCCATTTGCCTCATTAAGAAATAAATTGCATTTTGTAAAGTGATGTTATGAATTCAGTCTTATTAAATCGTAGGAAGAAGAATATTTACATGATATTTCTTTTGACTCAGGGCTCTGTACTTTCCACTTTGTCTTTCTAAATGAAGAGTTTTGCAGTGAAAAAGATGTGGTTGCTGTTTTTAGCAAAATGATGGAGAAAACCGTTGCAGACGTCTCTTGCTGGATTTTTATATGGAAAAAAAAAATCCAAAATTGTCTGACATGAGAAGATGCAGTCTTCTCTAGTGAAAATTAGAGGTCAGTCCTCTTCATGTTGCAAAGCTTGTCAGGTTTCTTCCCCGTCATCCTGATATCAGCTATTAACACACACTGTTAGTATGAGAAATGATGTCTCTGTAACCCTTGAATGCTTTTGTAGCTGTTGCTATATTTTGTTTTTTTTTTCATTCCTGCATAGTAGTCTTCAAAGCGTGATAAACTCTTATTAGTGTTCTGCTGCAATGATTGCACAGGTCAGAGGTCCTTTGACGTTATTTGCTGTTCCAGGTCTTCAGACACAAGCTTCTTTCTGTCCTGATTTTGAGTTGCCCCAAAACTTGTGCTGGTGGAAGTGACAGCTGTTGCTAACGCTCAACTCCTTTCTGTCAGGTGTTCCCAGTTGCAGGGTACCTTTTTTTTTGTTTGTTTGTTTTTTTGTTTGTTTGTTTTGCATCCATGGGAATCTGAGGAGGTCTGGTCAGCAGTAATGGTGTTTTCTAGATTTAAAAACCTTTTGCTGGAAGCTGGAGATTGGCACTGTGAGAACTGGTTTGCCATGACTACTGCAATGCAGCCAGCTTGCGACCAGCAAGGGAGGGGAGGCTTACTGAGGTATCTTTCTCACCAAAGTGAATGAAGAACAGTTAGAGACTAGAACAGCAGAGGGATTTCTAAAAAGGTTTTTTAAGCTTTTATATCTGAAGGGCCTAAATTCATGAAATTGAATAGAAAGGCATTTATTTTCATCCTGGTGCTGTTTCAGAATCAAATAAGAGGTCTCACCATACAACTATGTCATTGTCTGGTGAAAACTGTGCTATCCTGTGTTGATGATGGGGTAGGCTTGTGCCATCCAGCAGAAAGAGAAATTTTATTGAGAACAGTGGGAAACGGTAGAGGAATAAGTGAGTCTGAGTACAAAAATGGGTAATTGTATGCAGGCTTATACACAACTTCAGGATGTACAGAATGGGGCTGTATATCTCAGAGCTAGGCAGGCAACTAAAACTGAATGACTTATACTAGAAGAAGAAATGAAAGTACTTTTAACTTTTTTTTTTTCTTTTCTTTTCTTTAAAAATACTGGAAAATGATTGGCTGTATTTCCTCAATGAAATCTGAGGCAGTTCCTAGCTCTACCAATGCACTTAGAGAAATAATTTGGATGGAAAGGCTTTGTGGAATTTCTTCCATTTTTATTCTGTGGTCAAAATTTGACACACTGCACCCTAGTATGTTCTGGAAAGGTTAGAAAGATGTTGTCCATTGGTATTGTCCCAATGGTAGTGGTTTCTGTAAGTTATTTTAACGGTGTTACTACTTACTTCTAAGCAAAGGAAACATGGGCAGTGGAAGACAACAAGAGTCTACAAATGACTCTAAACTCAGAGCTGAATAAATTGACTGGGCAGAGGCTTTGGCTGCCAAATTCCCAAAGCCAAGCCAAGTGCTTTCATTTAGGAGAGCCGACTTGTTTTGTTTGTTTCCTTATGCTGGAATTTGGTTCATTTTCCATGAGAGGAAAGATTTCTATTTGATTCTCTAAACGTTGAGTTTAACTTTGGAACTGAAAGTTCAAGAGCTTTGCAGCCTGCAGCATTTCTTCTTCTCAGCATGGCAACAATGGAAGGCTCTGGATGCTCTTACTGACACCTTCTAGTTTTTCACATGTATTCACTTTTCCATTTCATGTTGTGACATTTTAGGTAGAATCTGTTACCCTCCCATCTGCTGTTGACCACCACTGGGGCCAGGCTCATTTCTGAATGTCATTTACTATTCTGAACTACATGCTTAGTGATGGATCTGTAAAAATGATTTGCTACATCATGTTGCTTTTTTCTAGAAGTGAGAAAGAATTACACTTTTTAAATAAAACACTTTAGACAAAGTAAATATTAAAATAGTAATGTTCCAGATGCTGCCACTGCCGAAGATGCATCCGTTCCATTTATCAGTCTCTTAACATGTGGGCTTTTTTTCTCCTGTATCTCTTGGGTAAATGCGGTGCACTTTGTCTGCATGGAGTAAAAATTGAATGTAATGACACGCTTTGCACAACCTGATGGACACAAAGGGACTAAATCTGACACCTGGCCAGGTGGAAATTCCCAGAGTGAGGGCTCTAAGGCTGAGCCAAACACCTGACTCTTGCATCATCTCGTTTGCTCTGATGTAAGGCATATGTTGGCAGCTGAGCATAGAACATGGTCTTCCCAACCTGATCAGCAAGCACATCTTGCCAGCTGATAGCACTTAGCCCTCTTCCTTCCTGACCTCCAACTGTCTATATAGTCTGTGTATGGCCCAAGTCCTCCCTAAGGACTGAGGGATTGCAGCCATCTCTCTGACAACCAGTACTTGTGAGAGGTATGGACAGCAGTGACGTGAGCTCTACAGGCTTACCAAATACCCCCCTGCCTTACTGCTTACCCTAAGCTTCCATTAAGCCTGATCTAACGCGTCTTCCCTTCTGTTGATTAAATTAGCTTGATTAAGACTAGCGTATATGACTATGCTCCAATCATATGCCCTGGCTGATTGCAGTGTCAATATGTGTGTAGTTAAACTCTGTTTTGCTTTGCTTAAGCACTGTGAAACTTTGACTATCTTTAATAGCTCTACAATTTATGCTCATTGACAATGGATGCAAAACAAAATGAAATTCAGATTGTAGTGAACAGCCTCATTCAATCTATGAGTTTAATTAAATGAGTCTCTTCAGGAATGCTAAATATGAAAAACTTCTTTGCAGAAGAGACAAAGCTACCAATGTATTATGAAGGCTGCACACCCTGGAAGTGAGGTTTTGATCTTTGTGTATGTTCTTCTTT